CCCCAACGATACCATACACAATAAAGGAATCTTTGACCTAAAACACATATGGAATCTTCAAACAGAATCACAAATTATTGGGCTTATTAACAGTCTCAATGACAGAGGAGCTGGCACTAACGATATCTGGAATTTCCTCCGCTTTAATAACAGAAGAACATATTTTTACTGCTTCAATTAATGATACAGAATCTTCAGATTTAGGAGTAACTTCTATTATTGAAACAATCATACTTGCTTGTTTAAGAAAATCTACCATTCTCCATCCAAATAAGTGACGAGATCGGAATTTTCCCAACATATATGCCACCCATAATCGAATTGTTGGAATATTCTTATTTAGAATAATAGACTCTACATTTGGAAATACTCACCTATTCTGTAGTTTCTGAGGAAGATATTCTCACTTTGCTTTTAATAGCCAATTGAATAATCCCTCTTCTGTAATTGGAACATTTGATAATCTTTGCTCAATATAATATATATAATCTTTAACGCTTTGCATACGGAATAACATCTGATTGGTCCCAGCATTTGTTTCTATATAACTATTAAAGAGACAGAATGCTTGTTCAAACTTGAGGTTAGTGCAAGAAACACCAATTTTTAAAGTGCTAATGTATGCTACTAAGTCCACATCTTTCTATGCTTTTTCTACATCACTAAAATCACGAGCCTTTTCTACTGGATCAGATTTACCATGATAATTTTTAATACGTAACTCACCTAGAAAACAAATCAAAGAAGACTTTAAAAGAAATATATGCTTCAACCTGGTATCATATTGCAGAATGTTATGGGATACCTCCCAAATATCTGACTGAAGAATTTATTAAAAATTATGATAAATATGATGAAATGAAGTAGTTTAGAAATCTTCGGAAATTACGAGATGCAAGTATTAATAATAAGACTGCAGTTGAGGCAATTACCCATAAAGATTATAGAAATGATAGGCTCACAACTGTTACCAGAGTTGAAAAACATTAAATCTGTCTGGAATTAATAAAGATTTGTACACCAGTTAAAGATATTGATGATTGAAATAGATATAAAGTTAATAATGTTAAAACATGCTTAAACTCATCAGAATCAATACAATACCTCCAAAATTTAGTACCAAAAATAGCTCGGGTTTTTGATACTATAGACACATCTCGTAGTGCTAAAAAATCTGGCTTAAAATTGGATAAAGCAAAACTTGATTTATTAAATTCAGCACTTTCTGCAATCTATGGGATAAAATTTAAAACTACTAATAATAAAAATATGCATTATCATTTAGTTGGAGCATTTGACAATGAGGAAGCTCCCAAATTACCACCATATCAAACAGGCGAAGATTGGGAGAATAGAGAAGATTGGTGGTACTCTTATAATAAACTTTCACCTGATGAATTAGAACTACTTCCTAATTCTATCTTACAAAATACCTAGGATTTATTCAATATAATTTAAAATGGGTATTTAGGATCCATGATATATCTTACAAAGGGGGTTTTTGTGACGCTTAAAAATGATAGTTGTAAAAAATATTCCACTACGAAGACCATTTTTGTGATGCTTAAAACTAATATCTAATAAAAGTGAGTATAATTATTCATCTGCTTCTATTCTCTGTACCTTTTGTCTCTCATATCAATTTCGAAAGTAAACTTTTTTCGTATGTTTAGGACAATATCCCATCCCAGAAATTGTTAGTTTTCCACAAATCCCACAAGGAAATTTTGTTATATTTGTATTATATAATTTCCAGTACAACGAACACCCTATGTTCCACCAACAACCTTTTTCACAAATCAAACCATCTCTTTTAACATATAGGCAGGTTGAATGCCCCGGACTATCTCTTTTAACATATTGATATGTTGAACACTTCGAATTGTCTTCTTTAACGTATTGACTAGTTGAATACCTCATTCAAAGTAATTTAATATATAATGTATAAAGCCTGTCTCACTTTTAATGTGAATATATTTAATATAAAATCAATTTAAACTTTTCCAAATTATTTTGTAATAATATAATCGAATATATATTGATATTACACATTACACTTAAAAATGGAAACACCCCAGAAAGTAGTCAACTTATTAATCAAGAGAGAGATCAATCACAATGGGCCAACGTTCCGCAAACTAATGCGCAATGGTTTTAGGTACGTAAAAGATTTAACCAAATTTTTACAATTATCAGATATTATGGATTATTATTATCCTAAGCAAATTAGATTCGTGAATGCTCTGTCCCATCCAGCTATGGTACCACCAATTGATATAATGGAAAATAGATTCGATATTTATAAGAAGTGGTTTATAAGTATGGAAACATACCAGAATCTATTTCAAGAATCATAAAAAAATAAAATGAATCATAAACCTTAATATAGCCTGGATCGCAATTTCAAAGTTATTTTTTTTTGTTATATCCTATGTAATAATAAATTTTAAATTGACATCCTGGTTATCTCATATGTAGGCATATACTCTCTTTTTCTAAGCATGGAAGTAATGAATTTTGATTTGAAAAAAATATTTTTATAGTATATATAACCTAAAGTACTGTTCATAAACTACTTGACCTATTATAACATTCAACTATGTCAGCCATCGCAACTAAAATTGTTAAAAAATACAATTTCAGCCCTGAGATGAGTGTGGCTGATCTCAGTCAATACACTTCAGAATTTCTCAAGAATCTAACTGATGATAAAAAGTGGAATCAAGCACGAAGGCATCTTTGAGAAGGATTTAATTTTACCAATGAGCAAGTAAGTATATTAATATCGAATCAGAGGAGTGGGAAAAATAAAATTATAAATTTAGTTGAAGATAGTTGTAGAATAGTTATAACCAAGCCCTCAAAAAGTTTGGAAGAAGAGATAATCAGAGAGAAAGCAAAACAAATTTTGCAGAATAGATATGAGTTTAATGTGGGTCAAGTGGATAGCTTATTTTCTATTTAGAAAAATATTCAATCAAAAAGCAAAACCATGCACGAAGTGTTCTGTTCCATAGTAAACATTGCTATTTCTAAGAAACAAAGTCTCCTTTCTTCGAAAGATCGGATCTGACGAGAAACAATTGGAGAGATGACGCATCAGCTTTTGCAGGATAAGCTTAGTATTTGGGATATAAGAGCTGAAGCTTATGCCTTAGTCCTATTAGCAAAAAATGCTAATGCTGGTTCATCACAGCTTTCCTGACTCAGAAGAGAATTAAGAAGCCTTGATGCTTTACCCACAATAGTCGAGGCCACGAAATTTCCAGATTTTACAGAAGAAGCTAACAAAATTCAAAGGGACAATCAGAAAAAGGCTAAAGCCAATCCTATTAATTATCCAGATGAATTTACATTAGAATCAGTCAAAGAGAAATTAGATGCATATGATTTAAAAACTTCACCCGATTATTTAACCCTTGCTGATGTTATGGTGATGCTCTGTATACGTCCCACTGAACTTATAACTTTGTATATTACAGATGCTGGAGTAACAGGTTATGTGAAGAATCGAGGTCAACCAGATATTCCTAGAAAATTTAGATCTATGAAAAAAAATCAAGAATGAGCCAAAGAATTACTCACCTGGATTTAACGTGCAATATCTTCAGGCCGAATGGGTAATCCAGGTAAACCTGGAGTTAAATGGTTTAATAAGTTCTTAAAAGAATATGGTTTAATTCCCAAATTCTTACGAAAAATGTGTGCCATTTATGCTGTGATAGTGCATAGGGCAGAGAATTTAGCTCATGCCTATACAATCGCTGGGGAAGCACTTCGACATTTATTCGACAACCACATTTCTCCAGTACAAAACTATGTTATAATAAACTACAGAAAGCGGGGACAAAAACCTGAAGAAGCGAAATCATTTTGACTTTATGATGATAACTAATTATGCTTTTTTGCTTTCACCACATTCACAGTAAAATCTTTATCATAGTTGCCAGTAGTCACTTCATAGCTAAATGATTCAGAGTTGGACCCAGATGAAGACAAGGACTCAGATGCGATATCATTTAAATTTTTCTTTTTTCCCTGACAATTCATTTCACTTTGTTCATTTATAGTCAGTTTAGGCACATTAGTGCCCTCACTCTATGAGTATATTCCAGAAAACAAATTATCACAGTGGCTATGATCTGGCTTCGAGTTTAAAGAACAAAAAAGTGATGCCTTGCATGATGTATGATTTCTTCGAGAAATATTAAGGTTGTTATGTCTCGAAGAGATGCTGTGGTACCACTCCTTAAAGGATCCAAATTTATAATATATTGCTGAATCTTGGATTTCACTATTTCCAGTAATTGGTTTTTTTACCTGATACTTGCTTAACAATGCCAAACACCGCTTTATCAGTGATATGCATCTATTGTGAAACAATGAGCTTCGCTCTGGCACTAGCTTCACTATTGGATAAACTTTTATCTTTTTCAAACCCCAATTTTTTCGCAATTAAATATATTAGATACATCTGAAATAGCAAATATATAATGAGTCATAGTGGAGTATTGCAAAGCAATGGCCTAGAGGGCCCACAAGATAGGTTAAGTGAATATGGTGTAAATTATATTGCTAACAATATTAAAACATCTAAAATATGACTGGTTTCATGAAGATTTACCAATATTCCGTTCTAAATATAAAGTTAGCCTTAGAATAATGCATAGTATTAGAAGATTAATTTTTTTTTCAAAATTTCTTACCCGCAAAATTAATAACGCATGCACAAATTCTTCAACTTCATCCACTGTTTCGTTATGAAAGGGAATCTTGGCTTTGATGATAGGGAGATAAAATTTTATACCTTTTTCTCGCAAAAACCCATGTATAACAATACAATGGTCATCTAGTTATTATAAACATAATTAAACAATAGGTTATTATCTAAATTATTGAGATGGAAATATGTTTTTACCTGTAATATTGATACCAAATATAATACAAAATTTATATAGCTCGTTCTTTTTAGTTTTTTTTGACATATCGGTATATCCGTCTAAGCTTAAACGAGCTAGCTTGTTATGATCATTAAGGGTTTTTGTGTCTGTTGATCTCCATTTCCCACTTTCGACATATGCGAGTTCGTTCCACTTATTTTTGAAAAATGCGCGAATCATTAAGTCAGGTTTGTTGCCTCTTGAACTGGTCTCTTGTCGATTTTTTCGTTTTTTGCTGGCAATACTTTGACGATCATTTCTCGTTACTTCGATGTCAAAGTCAACTGGCATTTGATATATCGATGCCTCTATAATACGTGTTATAACGTCTACAAGTGCATTCTCCGAAGCTTTAGAAATTTTACGAAAGACATTCCTTTTAGTTTCTTGCAGAAGCGTGTCTGTTATATTTGTTGCTGTTATCACCCTGTTGTTTTCACTCTCAATCCATTCCTTATGTCTTCTTGTTTCGGAAGGCGCAATTATGAATTTGCACTGGCTCTGAATTTCGTTTCTTTTTATAATAAAGTCCGCACACACCTCTTTTATCAATCCTCATCTACTAATATTTTCAATTCTTTCCATAAACTTCGCATCTGTAAAAGTATATTCACGTTACTGAATATTCAAAAATAAAAATCATTCTATAGCGCTTATATATCGGATATCAGATTTATGTGCAATATTTGCTTATATCACAATCTCCTCGTCAGTATCACTGCTTACTTATCGTCTTTGCATACCACAATATAAAGAGGAAACTTCTCGCAAATGGTTATGGCCACTCACCACCGCTTACATATCGTCCTTACAAGTAGTGCAAGGAGGAAAATTCACGCAAATGATAACAGTCTGACGAGAAGTGGCTCATTTTTTTTATCATCATATCTATAAACAATACAATTTGGTGATAGCATGTACCTTGTCAATAGTTTGTAATGATTTGAGATGATTCTTTCTTTCATTATCTAGATCTTCTGTCAACAACTCATTTAAAATCTTAAAAAGATGGTTGCAATCATTTTCTTCCGATTGTATGTCCTTGTGCTTCCATAATTCATAAAAAGCTCTGGAAACAGTAACCTTATTGAGTTGTTCGTTTCGTAAAAAATCTTTTAAAGAGTAGAAGTCATTGCGAGTTTGAGGAGGAAACGGTTATATGTGAGAATTTTTCCATAGTAGATTGTGATTGGGTTAGAGCGCATCCTGAAAAGCCAGGTGTGGTAGTACCGGCCCTTTTGTGGCATCTCAAAAAAGTGGCAGATAACTATATATGGTTTATAGAAACGATCAGAACGTCACACGATTAAATCGGAGATCTTAGTAATTACGATACAAAATCACGTGCGCGTTATTTTTCGTAACGCCGATCACTTTTCGGATTCCGAATTTGCAGGAATTTCGACACGAATGATAGAGTGGATAGCGTGTATTAACGAAGAATTACTCAGCACACATTACAATAATTAAAAGTCAAGTCATATCTTTATTTCAAGAAACAGAGCTTCAATGCTAAGCTATTTTTTTTCGTAAAATAATGAGAAAGGGCCGGCCGGCTAAGTAAAAATGAAGAGTAGCAGGATGTTTCAAGGGAGGAAAGGCATAAAAAACACGCCTGCTTGTTAAGCCTGCCGAGCCCTAACCCATATAATGGCAGTTCCTTTCCCGCTACTCAAAGGTGTAAATGAGTGTTATCTATCCAAGCACCTATCTTTTCTAAGTTTTCGCTTTTTATATTTTCCCACGGTAAAAACTCTTTATATCTTTTCCAATTAATCCTAACCCCAGATTACAGAGATGATATTTGCGAATCTTTGACTTTAATCTGAAGAATTTGATGAATGAGCAAAAGATAATGAATGAGCAGAAGACGATGACTCAGCGGAAGATGAAGATGAAGACACCTCGCTTTGCTGGTCAGATTAACAATCTGAACAAGGGAGTGATTTCGCTCTGGAGCGTTGTGTTTATCTTGCCGACCAATTCGAAATCAGTTGCAATTTGACTAAAATTATTATGGTAGGTTTCTAGAACTCGCTCAATTTCATTATATTTCCCATTTATCATGTTAATGATATTTTGCCTCCGTTGCATAGTTAGCATCACGGGAACTCATTTTTGTGGTAAGATCGTTATTAATTTCGGTTCTGATCTTGCCAATTTGTTCAGCGATAGTAGTGCTGATCTTGGTTTCACGAGAGTTTGTTTTATCGGCATTTTTTTGCTTTACGTCTCGAATGAATATTTTCGGGGGTTATCTTCGCAACGACGAAAAATAAAGTAGCCGTTAAAGCCATAAAAAGCATATTCTCCAAAACAATTAATGGGCCCATTTATGCAAAGAATTCCCGATTAGAAAATTAATAGCGGGGACGTGCGGATATTCAGATTTAAGATAAGTGAAACCAAGTTCGATGAGTTTTTTAAATGCCACGTTGGCTTTGCATAAGGGAAGCCAAAACCACCATAACAATTTTGGTAGGGTCGCAACCGAATTCGAATCAATCAATAGATCTATTACAATTCTCCAAACCGAAGTTAATCAACGATACTCTCTTATCCAGAGTACTAATAGGAGAGGATCAGACCAGCAAAGCGAGGCTTCGTCATCTTCTGCTCGTTCATCAAATTCCTCAAACTCAAGCCAAAAACTCGCGAATATCATTTCTGTAATCTGGGAACAGTTTCAGGCTATCTTTGATAGAATTAAGGGTGCGAATGATTATACATTCGATCAGATGTGTAATGTTGTATCGGCTGATATTCTTAAGCTTGGGATGGGAGCAATTGGAAAAGATACAATAAAGAGTTTTTACAATGGGGGTAATATAAGAAGCGAAAACTTAGAAAAGATAGGTGCTTGGATAGATAGTCATTTACATACTACTGAGTAGCAGGAAAGGAACTGTCAATATATGGGTTAGGGCTCGGCAGATTTCCTCCCTTGAAACATCCTGCTACTCTATATTTTTACAGAATTTATTAAATGCCGGGAAATTTAGTGTATATCACCGGCTATGTTTATTCGCATCGTTTGGTAAAGGTAAATTTGTCAATTTCAATTATTATAGACCAAGAATCCATAAAAGTCATGTGGCTATTTGTTTTGGTTGCTGGAAACTCGTAAAAATCGATGATGTGAATCCTAAAAAATTATTCCATTTTACTAGACAGATCGTGCTTGTTATTATTACACATCTACTTAAATTTCACATCGGCTGGAGACGATCAGCTTCTTAATAGAAGTGGCTAATAAGATGTATACTATATTGTTGTATTAATAAATAACGGAAAAAATAATTATTTAAATGTCAAAACCTTGGTTTATTCATCTAATTTCAGGGGTGTGTCCCAACCCAGTCTAACTGCTAAAGGATCGTCTACTGCCTTAGTAAAATCAAAAACCACGAATTCTCGATCCCGCAAATGCTTATCAATAATCTTGGATGCCTTTTTGGGTCATCTGTATATTGACGTACGATTCTGCATATATCGTCTCTAGATCCTGAGCATAAGTGTGAGATATTTTCACAAATAATTTTAGGTGTTTGTGTATATTTCTGGCTCACATATATCAGTGAGACATTTTGATACCAGCCACTAATAAAGTAAGGAATAATTCGTTCTTGCACTTTTTTGGGTTTGGCACATAGATCCTCAAAAACAATAACCATACTTCATTCTGGAGAGAATTTAGTTATATCTGAGATCTTATCTGGTAATATCCATTTAAATGTAACATCTTCTTGATATGGTTTAGGGGCATTCGCAAAGATCTGAAAGCTATTTTGTACAAGTTGCCATTTCGGTTCAAAATGCTTGCCTATTAATACGAGATCATCATTTTTGATATAACGATTTTCTTTCTTACCTTTAAACATTCGCTGTAATTTATTACCTAGCATAAGATTAATTATCATATTGGTTTTTCCGATATTGAACCCTCCACATACCAGCAATCTGAATGGACCCTCTGGTGAATATTTATTACCTTTCATTCGTTCTGAGGAATTGTTAGATGTCTCATCGATATTGTATACAAATATAGGCATACCTTTATCTTTCATTCTAACCAGGATAAGCAATATTTATTTTTTATACAATAAATAATCTCTTTTGTAATTTGTTTTTTATATAGGAAAATAAATCACAATTGAATGGGATACAAATAAGATCTATACCTCGCTCTTTGCATATATTCTGCTTTTTTTGATTCCACTTCCTCTGTGAATCTAAATCTATTTCTTCTCATTTATGAAACATTGAATTCTGAGAATAATATTGAACCCCGTTAAATTCTCATATCAATTTTAATTCTTCATTATACCTATCTAGTTGCATCCCATTCAAAAATGACAGTTTACACGATGGAAATTTTTTACCAAGCAGATCTTTGAAAATATATCTATAGCAATGCTCATTGGTGTGATGGAAACCAAGTGGGCACCATTCAAATTTCGTAGTTATTAATGGATATGGATATTCCCACTAATGTTTTCCATTTTTACAGAACCAGAGATATACATCAAAACCATTTATTTGGCTAGTTTTTTTAATGCAATGTCCACCTCGCCTTTCAGCATAAGCCTGAGCATTAGCCATTTTATTAACAACACAAATAAAATTAACAGACCTGGAATGAGTATTTTCTTCCAATATACTCTGGGGCGGATATTGAACTTTTTCTAAATTTACGTACATAAGCTCCTCTCTCACAAATTCCTGCTTTGGAAGATATTCATCGTTATCGCTTCCAAGATAATATAAAACTGGTTCATTCTTCATTATTACAATTTTGCGAATTTTATGTAATAAAGGACTCTATACTGGGTCAGTCGCGTAATGTGCTGTTTTTATACCTCTTTCTCATTCCGCATTAGCAAGCAGATAGTGAACTATATCACCTTTCTTCAACATATTCTCCTCATATTTCCCAACAGAATACTTATACTTTGTAGATGGCCTAGATTCTACTCGTTCCAGTTTGATAGCTTTTGCTGAAGCTAACCTCACTTCGAAATCCAGAAGCTCTAATAAGACATGTTGAATAATTATTTAAATAATCTATTACTTCGGGCAAATACTTAACCCATGCTCTTATTAATTTAGGATCTGAGGATATACTTTCAATACTATAATAGATTTTATAAAGCATTTCCGCAAATGTCTTACAGAATCTGTCTACAATTACTAGACCCCGATGACTATATGCACTAATCAATCTAATCGTTACATTATGCTCTTCCATTATTTTACTCGTTTCACCCATAAATTCATGCCCTTGGTCGCATTGTAAAAGTGTTGGCCATACAAGTGGATTTTATGGATCATTATAAATTTTTTTGAAGGCTTTGGCAACGTTTGAGCTATTTTTTGATGTAAGAGGAACAGTGCATTTAAAATGTGATACAACGTCTATAATATTGAGTACCTATTTATATATCTTTTTATTAATGATATCATTTGTAAGGCGCAATAAATCATACATATGTACGCAGTTTGGAAATGAAATTTTTCCATAACTTACCTGTGGAGTGTTTTTCAGTGACAGAGCATACTTTTGCCATTTATCTTGATTATACAACTATTCACGAACTTTTTTATACAGGAAATTATATCCTTGATCTCTGACAGCATTATACAATTTTCGAGTATGGGAATTATAACCAGTAGATTGATAAAAAAGCAATTTACAGATTAAGTTTAATTATTTATTTGAATCAATTCTAATAATAGGTTTGCTCAATTTATGCGAAGCATGGTCTAAGGACCTATTCATTTTTGATATATTTTACTATAGCAATAAACTATGTTTTAGCAAAGCCAAGAGATAAGTCAATATAATATATTGTAAAAATAGCTATGACATTTCAGAGACCCCAACCTTTCAATCGAAATTCTCATACATCAGCTTCTAATCAGGAGTTAGAGCTAGAGCAAGCAAATCAGATCTTAAGAGATAAATTCTCTAATAAAATTTCAATCAATAGATCGAATAAGAAATCTATAAAAGATCTTGAATATAAATATATCTGGTATGAGAAAGAAATCCAATCTCTCAATAAAGAATTGGAATGGCTTGAGAATGCTTCAGAAAAAGAAAAGGCGAAGTTGAGATTGGAGATATCATCCCTTAAAAAAAGCTTATATCAAGCCACAAAGGAGGTTCGGGAGATTAGATCCTATAATGCTAATCTAGAACAGCAGTTGCAAGAATGTTATGAGAAAATGGAAAATCTGAAGTATAGATTCAAAGTTATTTCTTTCCGGAGAAGCTCTCCAACTTTATATAATTTAGGAGGGGAAGATACCAATATGGCAAATCTTGACCTTTTTATACAAATTAATTGAGGCTTAAATCGTATTGAAAATCATATTTGAGGTGCTGGTACTTCATTAAATAATCCTATCAATATTATAAATGACATTAGAGGTTCTTTGAATGCTGTCTGCCTTAATTATCAAAATGCGTATCAGGATATAGATGGTGTTATCGCCCAACGAGATGATAGAGATAATCAAATAGTCTAGCTACAACAGGATGTCAATTTCTATAAACAACAAAACACCAACCTTCAGAATCAAACCAATTAATTTATTTAAGCCCAAGATATCTTGCAAAATCAAACTAATCAACTTGTTCAAGAGCGAAATACTTTGCAAAATCATGTCAATCAACTTATACCAGAATGAAATATCTTGCAGAATCATGTCAATCAACTTACTAGATATCTTAATAACAGCCAACAAAGATATAATTTGCGAGAGCGTTTGTGACATAATGTTACCTTGGCATTAGAAGAACAATCTAAACTCAGATGTTCTTTCGAAATTATTTATAAGATATCTATTCATCAGCTAAAGTGGGAGCTACAACAATGCCAGGCTGATAAAGGATTATTAGAATATAATCGAGATCGAATCTTTGATAGATATTACAATAAATTCAAGGATCGGAAGGCAAGTCATATCAAGTGGAAAAATAGAGAGTGCAATTCATGGCAATTAATTTTAAATTTGAATTAACAAATTTTTACACTTTAGAATAATCTACCTATAAATAATCAATATAAAGGAATGGCAGGATATGCACCACTCCTATTTTACGGAAAAGCTGAAGAAGATTCTGAAGAATGGATTAGAGATTTTAGACAATACTGTGAAGCATCTGGGCTTGATTCACTTGCAAATGCTTGAACCAAAGTAAGGATTCATAGACTTTTTGAGATGTGTTTAAGAGATGATACAAAAGATTAATATGAAACTCATCTCAAGAATAAAAATTGGGAATTGCAAAATATTAGCGACAATACGGGTCTTGCAGATCTTGGTGCCATCAATGAATTGGCTAACAATAATGCATTGTGTGCTATTAATGTCAATCAGTTTAGAGGCGGAGCTCTTCGAATAAGAAATACTGTTCCAGCAAATAATAATGCAATCACCACACCATTAGTGCCAGCACATACTGTTTTTAATAAAGACTGGTTGATATCCGGTGGACGACCAACAGATCTAGCCCCAAATGCTTCCAACGCTAATGTAAGAAGTAATACTATAGCTCCAGGAATTCGTATCAGACATGTACTATATTGGTTTAGAACCAATTATCCTACAATAACTGTCAAAAAATCAAAAGTGATATTTCATAACATTACTCAAGGTATTAATTCTATAGGTCGTTTTTATGCAAAATTAAAAAGTATGGTTGGTCTTGCCTATCCCGTACTTTCAGCATTGAATCGAGAAGAAATGGTTAGACAACAATTCTTTTAGGGCCTTTCTCCTGATAACAAAATAGAAGTAAGACATATTGGTCTCGAATATCCAATTTCCACTTTACTATCAAAATTAGAAGAAATTGAAAGACAGAAGGTGGAAATAATGTTAGGTCAATATAATCCGGAATCTCATCCTGTTATTTCTCGATTACAATCTAAAGCTAATGCAAAAGACAATTACTTGAGCAATACAGGTGTGAGTAGAAATGAAATAGAAAACTATGTAAATTTTCGTATGACTTCTACACAATCTCAACCTGTTTTTTTACAGACAGCTCCTCAGCAAATACAACTGTTACAACCACTTCAGCTATCTCAACTATCTTTATCATTACAACCATCTCAGCTGTCTCGACCTTACTATGGACCACAGCCTGCAGGAACAGACCAATTTGTATAAGATGCAAACATTGGTAGATTTATACAATGGCTCACTGGGGAAGTTCCAGAATTTGTTTCCCTTCCCAAACCCAATTTATCTCCAAAACCATAGATAAAAAAAGTAGAAGTCGACTTTGATGATGAACTGGCTAATCTTATCAAAAAACAATTAAAATTACATGTAGCTAAAGCCATTAAAAAAGCTGTGAAATCCCAACACCATTGTTCAAAATGTCACAGAATTGGTCATTATTCAAATTCTCCTAAATGTTCAAAAAATAAAAAGAAGAGCAGGTCTAGAAAGAAAGGTATGGTTAATATGGCTATCAATAACTCTAATTCCGATTCAGGTTCTGATTATAACTCTTCCAATAACGATTCTGGATCTGGCTCTGAGTTTAGTTCTGAATCTAATTCTAATTCTGAGAATAAGTTAACTGAGACTGAAATCGTGAAAATTATCAATACTGTCAATGCTGTTAAATCAAAAAAAAAGTAAAACAGAAGGGTAAATCAGATAAATCATTATCTAAAAAGTCTAGTTCAAAAAAACGTTCTTCACAAAAAATACAAAAGAAATCAGATACAATTATCGACTCACAAATTCGAAAAATTATTCTAGCTATGTTTAACGATCCAGAGGTTATAGAAATAATTAAAAACAATATTAATAATATGAATTTATCTGTTACAAAACCTGACTTTATAAATTATCAAGAGCCGGCTCCAGAAATACCCGATTCAGATAGGAAGAATGAAATGCTAGATGATCCTATAGAGATTGATTTTGTCCATTGGAAAGAACCGGTAATTAATATTGCAACTATACCAGTTAAAATTAAATGCTTAAAAATTCCAGCATTGATACTAGATAGTGAAGCCGAACCTGCAATCATATCAGAAAATATTGTTAAATATGTAGGTGGGAAAATAGATAGGTCGAAAAAATATGATCTCAGTGGCATTGCTATTGTTCCAACGGAATCGATTGGCATCACTCGTAATTTATCAATAATATTTCCTCCAGGTTTTACTATACATAAAGATTTTGTAGTTGTACGAGTTCCCAAATCGACATTAATATTCCCAAATCCGCTTCTCAAAAAATATAAATGTGCTGTAGACTGGGGTAATGATAAAATGAAGATTTATTACAATGGAGAAGATTTTATTATTCCGGTTACTATGCACAAAGTCAAGAATAAGCCCGAAGTAAATTGCATTATTGCATCTCAAAATGATAAGCCTTTAGTATCTGATCAAATTTACCAGAGCATAGATAATAATAAGAATAACAATGTACAACTTGAAAAATAATGTACTCCTGTGGATTTTAGTCCAAATAATACAGAGTATCAAATCTTTGATTCCTCTGACAATTCAACTTTAAAAAAAAATGCATGAATTGTGAAAGGGCTATCAAAATCATTACTGAGCTTAATATTCGTAACAGACTTTTACTATCAGAATACGAAACTATGAATAAAGAGAAAACCAATTAAGAATTGCCAAAGGTAGTCACTTTGTGAGTATTTAATACATAATCTGAATATTCTATTCATTTCTCTTCCTCATTTAACACTTGTTCAAGTGGGATATCAATAATAGTGATTGGATCAGAAATTCAAACAGATTTTAACTTTGGTCACCTCTTTTTTGTCTGTTTATTTATTGCTTTGCAATGATCCTTCGGATTTAGAGATATTGATATTATTTCAGAAGAAATTTCACTTTATATCTGAGATGAATGAGAGTATATTGGGAGGTTAGATATCATTTGTTATTTATGCTCCCGATTCTCAATATATTCTTTGACCTGAATATAGGATATACGATATTTTTTTGTCATGGTATTAATAGCATCAGGTACTCTGCCAAATGATGTTTTAATTTCTTTGATCGCTTCATCTGATAAAAATCTTGCATTGGTGCTATAATATTCTTTATGAATATGACCCATATTAGAGTATTTATTGTTTATAAACTATTAAAAAATAAGAAAAATTTCGAAACATTTTGCTATAACCTAATATATATTGATACATTTCGAAACATTTCAAAATATTTTGCTATAACCTGATATATATTGATACATTTCAAAACATTTCAAAATATTTGTGTATGTTTTAGAATAATAAAAAAATTTTATAATTTATATTAATTTTATTACATATAGTTTAGCCAAAATATATGGCCAATATACAAGATAAAAAATCTCGTATTGTAAAAGTTATATCAGGGTTAAATTCTTATAATAAAAAATTACAAGACAGGTATATAAAGCAAGAGCAAAATTTTGATCATGAACGGAGAGGTTGGGAATAGAAGAAAAAAAAATAGAGTCAGAAACTGGGTGGGTCCAATACTATAATCCAGAAATTACGTACTTATGATCTCGAACTCATTGATGAAGCTAGGTATTTACAGATTGAAAATGCTAATAAAGACATTTCTTTTGTGAAGTCCAAAGCTGAGAATGATATAAAATCCAAGAAAATTAGATCGCTTGAGTCTATGATTAAGATATTGGAAGGTAAGTTATCTTCAGCTTAAGAAAATGTAATTTCGATTCAAAATGACTCATCGAAAAAAAAAACTGAAATCGTGTCTCTCAAATCTAAAATAGCTAAATTAGAACAAGAGTTAGCTTCAACGATTAGTGAGCTTGAAAATCTGAAATTGGAGGCTATATCGAAATCTGTAATTGGCGGGGATGACGATAAAAATATGACCAAGTTTAACTCATGGAGTAAGGATGCTATCGCATCTGATATATCTGCAGTTAGTAAACCTAGCAAAAATCTTAGACAGTATTTTATATTTGGAAAAAGTATGGACCTAGCTGGAAAAATCGATAATGATATCTCAACACAAACTGTTATCTTTGATAACTGCTCTGCCAATGATGAAAATACAAAACCATCAAGAGTCGATACTGAGATTAGCCCTAAGATAAATGAGGGAACTAACATTAGTGAAATTAACAAGGATGATATACTAGATATATCGATAAAACCCAATATATCAGAAGCTATGCCTCAAAATGTGACTCTGCATCTTATACAATCAGATAATAATATATTCGCTTTAATTGAATCGAATTCTCAGATGGGACCTGGTCCCAAGGCTTTGCCTCTTCCAATAGGAGGGATAGGAGTGGTTCCTATTATGACAAGCACATTGATGTCACCTTTATTGGCATATATTTTTCTTACTCTATTAATTATTGTGATTATATGATTCGTTATATTGAGATGCCCATGGAATATAGGTAAAAAGAGTGATCGATTACGGGATGTGTGGGTCAGGTATTAGGAACTATCTATTTAAACTTCGATATTATTTATATACAAAAAAATATTATTAATAATATATATGTATCTTAGTAGATTGTGGTGATCTTAGCTAAGAATACTTAACAATATAGGTCGTTAATTTCATCAATATTTGCTTCAGATTAGTTGTCTTTTTTACTACTCTGCATGATTTATATTGTTTGGAAACGTGTGATTTCAAGACCAATTACCCTATATCACATATTCTGGAAATCTATTAATGTTTTACACTCTGATTTCAAACTAAATCGAAATATATATTCTTCCAAAATCATAATATCAGTCTTGCATTTTTGTGCCTTTGTAATTAATTTACACAACGTATGTCTATATTCCACATTTAGCTTAGACAATTCTAAAAGTATATCTGATAATTTCAAATAAATAGAGTCCGCAATTTTATCTAATGCATTAAGATAATTATTATACCTAGTAGAAGCACCCGAAGTAGAAGGCCTGGTTATACCCGCTTTGCTAATATTCATAGTAGAGTACAATTTTTCAACATGTATAATAGCATATTTCCATAAATGGAAAATAATGGCTTCATCCTTTTTTGAAGCATCACGTAAGTTCTTAATATATTTTTTGTGCCATTTTTTAGCTGACTTCTGTGACTCTTTATCTTTAATTTTTGCTATTTCATCTTCATCTAGACTCAGAGTATCATTGCTCTACAGGCCATATGGGCATTTACTACGTAAATATAAATCCTTAGCAATTTTTAATTTCTTCTCCTTGAATCTCTTTTTGCGATCCAAAACTTTTGAGAGAGATTTAGATGATGGTTGATATTTATCATCATAATTTATAAAACGGGCACAGAAACCAAATAGACTTTCGATATAATAATCAATATTTATTTTCTTGTTGAACTTTTTTATTACATCTGGGTATTCCATACAGTCCCCTTTTTGTTGTGGTATTTTTTTCCCGCTGTTATCATAAATCTCTTCAGATACTACTACAATGTAACTAAATCTTTCACCGGGTTTGGGAGCTTTATATAGATATTCGTTAGCAGGTAAACCCTTCTTCATTGGCTGTTG